TTCTTGTTTTGTGATTTGTACATTTGTGGGTTAAAATAAAGTTGAACTGAAGGTTGTCTCTTCTTTAAACATGTTTGAGGGAAATATTCCTGAGATCCAATAGTTTTGTGTCTTTTTATGATTTTCAGCTGAGTTAACAGTCATTAAAGTGAAAACAGGATTTCATGATGAAGCTGGCACCGTTTTTTTTTTTTTTTTTTTTTTTAATCTTCCAACGCTCTGCTGGTCTCACTGATCCTCTCCTCCGGAGCCAGGACGGGCAGGCTCATCCTCCTAGCTCCAGCTCAGCTGGTGACTCACAGAGGCCGCTCCAAGACCCCAGCCGCGCATAATCATGAAGGCCCGACCCGCGCAGACAGGTGGGCAGAGACGGGTCTGCGATGAACGGTGGAAGCGATTTAAAAAAACATTTTACGTGTAAAAAAAATAATCATCATTTTTAAATTGCTTCAGCAATTTTTTAAAACATTTTTTGTATAAAAACAAAATATTATTTTATTTAAAAATCGCTTCCAGCGTCCGTCCCAGACTGTCCAGTCCGCCTGACTGCCGGGCGGGATTGGGATTCAGCCTTCATGATTACACGCGGCCGGGGTCTGGCAACGTCCATCTGCGAGTCCCCATCTCCAGATTCGCAGTGACCTGCGGAGCTCTGAGCACACAAGGCTGGTATCCGGAACCCGAGCCTCCGAGTCGGCACATCGAAGGATCTTCCGCAGTGACCAGCTGAACTTGGAGCCGGGGAGATGACGCCCTGCCCGGTCTGGCGCTCGGAGGCTCCGGAGGGAGGATCGGGGTACACCAGCAGAGCTCCATCCAGCTTGCTCTGAATTATGTTGTCGGCCACCAAGCACAAAAAATGCCAGCACATCAACATTAGACCAAGATGTTGTCAGTATTGTTTTTAAAATCTTTAAAATAAGTCCAGGCTGCTCCAGTCCGAGAAATTGCAAATGGCGGATTATTGTTTTGAAACGTTTCTGAAAGATCCAGTGACTCCGCCCCCGACCAATCAGTGACCGACAGTGTTCTGACGTCACGTTTTTGTACCTCTTCGTACCGGTTAGAACCACAGAGCCAAGGGTACTGAAAATAGTAACAGGTGCTAAGTACCGGTACTAATGGAAAAGCCTCAGAACCGGGCCAAGTAGGGTAGAGTCGGCCCGTACCGGTACTAATGGAAAAGGGGCATCAGTGACGCCTCGTTCTACTGTCCACTGCATCGTCCATCATGACAGAAGAAGTGTCCATTCACCACCAGGTCATCCACCTGCCTGAAAACCCAGAGGACCTGGAGGTGTGGGTTTGCAGGGCCTTTTATTGTTTTGAATGAACTTACTGCTCATAAAATGAATTATTGACAATAATAGTTTTTGTAATCACTTTATTTTTCACATTTAAAACAAAAACACCTTTTTTCAAGAACATTAAAAAGCAACCATCAATTAATTAATTAATTTGAAATTCTTTCTTTTCTCCATTCTCTCCCTACTTACATTTGCTCTTCTCTCTGCTGCTTCATAACTTCTGATTAACTGAAATAAATCATCCTCTCTGTCCTGATGCCTCTTTCTTCCCCATCTCCACCCCTCTCTTTGTTCCTCAGCTCTGTCTTCCTGGTCACCCACTGCTGTGCTTGGACCTGGACTGTCCTCAGTGATGGAGACAGTTAGGACAGGAGGTGCAGTGGAAGCTCTCTGTCCTAAAACCTGGTCCATGAGGACAAACCAGGACCAAGTCGCAGCAGCAGCGTCCCACTAACTCCTTCCCCTGACCCGCCTGGATATTTGCAGTCCCGAACACAGGAAACATCACAGTTGGCAAACAGAGCAACAAACATTTTTTTTTAACTTTGCATGTGTTAACAGCTGCACGTACAAGTTATATTCTTCATTATGCATGCACATACTTTGTATTTATTTTTTAGGTTGTCCCATTTCGTTTTTGCCTGCAGAGGAGTTACCTTCCCCTGCAGGCCCATCTTCTGCATAATTATCCAAATAACATCAATATAAAATGAACGAAGAGGAAACATGGAAAATAATGCGTTAGAAAAACTAGTTTTCACAGCACAACACAAGAGGACCTATACTTCATTAAGATAGCAGGTTATGTATGAGGGTTAATGAAACTGTACACAGAAGCGTAAGACTAATAAATGGATTCATTCTTGTACCTCCATGCCACAGCTGCAGAGTGTTTTGCACCAGTAAAAATGTGGCTGTTCTCATTCTGAAGCTTAATAAAAGCTTCAGTCTGCTCCTTGCTCCCTAAAAGAAAAAAAAAAAAGAAATATTAGCTTAGCGGCCACAGTACTACGGGATCCGCTGTAAGAGCAGATCTCCCACAAAAAATAATACAAAAAAATGTCTACGCAAATGACAAAAGCCTATCACCTGCTTTAAATCATAACTGCTTTGGGCTTTTATAATTTTTTTATCCCAGATTTTAACACTTACATTTAAAAGTGTTCACCGTCGCTGCTTCGTCCGCCATTACGTCCAGAATTTTCTGTGTGCCCGCAATGCATCATGGGATAAGGTGGGCTGTGAAGGATACACGGGACCTGGCCTTCAAATCAGGGGGAAAAGCCACAGTCGTGGGCCGCATTGAAGGAGTCTTTGTATGGGAACAGGCCTCGGCGCGTCGTTGTGACGTAATCGGCCTTCAAATCCAGCCTTCGAAGGATGCAGCCGCTGGACTGGGACACACCCTGAATCTGCCTGTAATCACTGATAATCCTCAGTTCTTACATCCTGATGCATGCTCAGTTCTTACACTTTTCACCTCACTAAAAATACCTCTGAGTCAGGCTAATTAGCTACTGAGAGCTAGCTCTGCATCTTGCGAAGGCAGATCAGAATTAGCTTAACTGCTTTTGTAAGAGTAGGTTACTGCTGCCTGTTTAGAACTGCCTCCCAGCAAAGTGTTGATTTTGAGTTTTCCTGTGTCTATGGCTTTTGTGGTTTGGGATGAGCACAAAACTAACACAAGCAAAGCAAAAGTCTTCGGTTCACCCGTCTTCAGTGGTGCAGCTTCTCACTTCACAAGAAGGACCAGCATGAGGCTTATCCCATCTGTCTAGGGATCGTTCATGCCAGTGTGCATTGGCAGAGACCTAAGCAGTGTAGTGCATGTGGAGCAGGGTAGGTCACACAGGGACGTGACATCAGGATGGGAGACTGCATCGAAGCCAAGATTCAACTTGTCTGCTGGATTCCTTAGATAGAGAACTTTACTAACTGTCTTTTATGTGAATGTTCCTGTAAAGTGCCCTGAGACAACTTTGTTGTGATTTGGTGCTATAGAAATAAACTGAATTGAATTTTCTCGTGATATCTCTTTAACTGCATTTTTACTGCAGTTTATTGTTGTCATTGTCTACTGTTTTGTTGTCTGTACTTCATATGTTCTGTCTGGAACAGTTCCCTCTTGCAAATGAGCCTCCGTGGCTCAATGAGGCTAGCCTGTATAAATAAAAGTTAAATGAATGAAAAAAAATCCCCCATATCACGTGCTGTACTGAGGGAATCGACTGAAAGGGAACATTTCCAGAGATCATTCTCATGCAAACGGGCTGGACAATGTGGAGTTCCAAGCTTTAAGCTGCACGAGATATTCTTTTACACAAAATAAATTCACACAATTAAACTCACTCCACTCCTGAAGGATAAATGTTAGGGTCTTTCTTTGCCTGACTCACAATAGATGCTTCAGTCACATGCATAAAGTTGTGATTTAGAGTGAAAATTGCATGAAATCTGAGACCTCTTTAATGTACAAATAGTTTTTTTCTTTACAGTAAATTACTTCCTTCATTCCCTTCCCAAACCAGTTGTCTTTTCTGTCCAATATACGAACATTTTGGTCCTCAAGGGTCTATCAATAGTATGTGTTGGGGTGATTCTCAGCTACCACCATACCAAATTTTAGTTGAGTATCCACAAAATTGACTGAATCTTATCAATTTTTGTTTTGTTTTTTTTTAATAGTAAATTAGATGAGGTGGCCATCTTGAAAAAGGTTGACTTTAGAAGTTGCCGATGTAAATACAGTAATCACTTCCAGAAAGTTTTATCAAGATTTGTTCAACGGTTCATGATATTCTGTTTGAGAAGATCAAAGTGTTTCCCACCTGGAGCCTAAGCAGATTCAGTGTGGTGACCACCATACACTCCTTCTCTTGAGGTGGAGGCCAGTCAGAGCTGCCATCCATACCCTCGCTAACCTGCCGTAGGAGGAGGTCCAACTGTTCGAAGGTCATAGAACAAACATCTACCACAAAAGGCACACGTAGCCCAACAGACCATTCTGAACATGAGGACCAGGCAAAGCTCTACAAGAACAAAAATAGAAAGAGTCAAAACTGTTTCCCATCATTGAGAGGACATTTAAAGCAGAAATGAGAGTTGTTTACTTGTCCTGGTCCACAGGAGATCCCCACTATGTGTTTGGAGTTGAGCCCTGGGAGTGCCTTGGGCTGTTTCTTGTTGGAAAAAAGTGTATCAAAGTGTTGTAGCTTATCATTGCTGCCCCAACTGTGCACTTCTCCATCATTTGTGAGGGCTAGACAATGCGTGGATCCAACTGCAACATCCACAACTTTCTTTCCTGATAGGAAATATAAACAGAAATTAAGACATTTCATTTATACATTTTCCAGAAACACATTGTTTGTTGTAGTCAACCCACCTTGCAAACTGTCAAGTAGCTTTGGATAGCGAACATGTTCATCAGTGCCGTGACCAAGACGTTGGTTGTCTCCCTTTCCCCAGGTGTACACTTGACCATCTTTAGTGAGGGCTACTGAAAACTGACTGCCACAACACACCTTCACTATATCCAGGTCCTGCAACTTCTCCACTAGCTTGGGTGTCTTGCATCCATCGCTGCCTCCTCGGCCCAGTTTGCCGTAATCTCCATCTCCCCAGGACCAAACTTGGCCTGTAGAAACATGAAGGCAATGCTGAGTCCCCATTGTTCAGTATGGATTATCAAAATTAAACCAAAACAAATTATTCCAACCGTTTTCAGTCACAGCAAGCGTTTGGGCATCCCCGCTTCCACATGCCACATCCACCACTTTGTGTCCTTTCAGAGCTATTACTAGCATTGGTATAGTTTGGTCCTCACTAGAGCCTAGAAAAATACACAAAAGACACTCATTTCAGATAATAAAACAGAAAGAGTGTTATTGTTTTAGAAGTGACCACTTATTTATTCAACGTTTATTTTTACAGGTTAATCCCATTGAGCCTCGAGGACTCGTTAAGGCTATGTAGAAAACTAAAAACAAGAACATGTCTGCATTGTTTTTTTTCCCCAGGAATTTAGCAGATGTTAGAAGCCACTTAGAGAGGTCATGGTCGAGAGCTTCAGATCTTTTTGCAATGTATTCCAGGAAACAGGAGCAGAGTAGGAGAAGGTCCTTTTACCTAGTTCAGTCCATGCTGAGGGAACACTGCAGGTAATAATGTCCTGAGAGCGCACAAGAACGGCTGTGGCTGAGTGGTTAGAGCAGTCGTCCTCCAAAGCGAGAGTTGGGGGTTCGAATCCACCAGCACTCGCATGCCAAAGTGTCCCTGGGCAAGACATTGAACCTCTCATTGCCTCTGATGTGTGTCCCATCAGTGTATGAATGTGATAAAGCTCTGATTAGTCTCTTTAGAATTATTTGTTCAATTAGCTTTGTATAGATCTAGTAGAGTGCTGCATGAATGGGTAAATGAGGACACAGATTGTTGTGTAAAACGCTTTGAGTATCTTTAAATAAGATAGAAAGGCGCTAGATAAGTACAGTCCATTTCACATCTGCAAGGTGCTTGCAGGAGCATTCATTTAAATATTGCCACTGAAATCAATGGAGGGAAGGAAAGTCACAGTTACAAGGTGTTTCCTAACATTCAGAGTTAGACAGGATCTATTTCTGAAAAAGAAACCCAATCTGACTTTCAGTTTCTTTACCAAGTTTTCCATGTGGAGCTTAAAAAAGACGCAAGCCGACCAAGAAACCCAAATATTTGTAGGAATCGACAAACTCAATGGGGACACCATCAAGGATAAAATTAAAGGAAGAAATGCTGGGACCGACCTCCTGTTTGAAAACAGCATCCATTTGGTTTTGTCAGCATTTAGGACAAGTTTGAGACGGAACAAATCAGACTGGATGACGACAAAAGCAGATTGCAAAAGCTGGAAAAACTTAGCAACTTTTTTAGCTCGACAATAAACAACTGTATCAGCATAGAAATGTATGGATGCATCAGGGATTCATTCAACTTTTATTTATACAGGCTAGCCACATTAAGCCACAGGGACTCATTTACAAGAGGAACCTGCTCCAGACAGAACATATAAAGTACAGACAACAAAACAGTAGACAATGACAACAATAAACTAGAGTAAAAATGCAGTTAAAATAAGAGTAGTGTACAAAACAATAAATCAGGGTGCTGTAAAACAGGGTGAAAGAATAAAAACATATTTGCTTTGATTTTTCTATTGACATTATCAAATGTTTGAAGCCCCTTAAAGAAATCAAGGACAACTTCAGTTCCTGTTGCAAAGTGTTCCAGGTTGTAGAAGCTGAGTAGGAAAATGCTCTACATTACCTATGTAGATTGTAAAGAGGGTGGGTTCTAAGACTGAGCCTTGTGGTACATCTTTGTTGACTGTTAAATAACTGGAGGAAGTACCATTATGTTGAACACATTGCCTTTGATCTGAGAGATGGTTAGAGAACCAACCAATGGTGTGTTCTGAGAAACTGATTTCTGAGAGTTTATGACACAAGATGTTCTGATCCACAGTGTCAAAATATTTAAGACAGATCTAAGAAAAGTGCAGCACAATAATCCTTAGCATCCAGTGCTTCAACAATGTCATTAAGAACCTTCAGTGAAGCAGTCGTCGTGCTGCATTGTTTCCTGAAATAAGATTGATGGCGAGGTAAAATGTTAAATGAGTCCAAATACTTTGGACTTTTTTGGTTTTGAACCAGTTTGACATGACTGTCGACGAGGAAGAGGGCTGGCATCGGAGGAGGGGATGTGCCAAAGACACCATCTTAGCACCAACATAACTGGTTTGTTCCACTTTGGAGTAAGCTGTTAGGGGAAGAATTAGTTTTGTGTTTCCTTGACTGATGAAGCGTTCTGGATTAAAGGTGAAATGTTTCAGCACAAAAAAAGAAACATTCCAGATGACCTGACTGAAAATTGTTTGATTGTATACCTGGATTACTGATCATTGACTTTGTTGGTTTTGAACGAGTTTGACATGACTGTCGATGAGGAAGAGGGCCGGCACCAGAGGAGGGGGCATGTCAAAGACACCATCTTAGCAACAACATAACTGGTTTGTTCCACTTTGGAGTAAGCTGTTGGGGGAATAATTAGTTTTGTGTTGTGAGTTTCCTTGACTGATGAAGCGTTCTAGATTAAAGGTGAAACATTTCAGCACAACAACAAAAAAGAAAGAAAGAAACTGTCCAGATGACCTGACTAAAAATTGTTGGATTGTATACCAGATTCCAAAAGTTGGGACACTAAACAAATTGTGAATAAAAACTGAATGCAATGATGTGGAGATGGCAAATGTCAATATTTTATTCGTAATTAAGTAAGTAGCAATAAGTGGCTGGAAAAAGGAAATTGAGCGTGTAACGAACAGCTGGAAGACCAATTAACACTAATTAGGTCAATTGACAACATGATTGGGTATAAAAAGAGCTTCTCAGAGTGTCAGTGTCTCTCAAAAGCCAAGATGGTAAGAGGATCACCAATTCCACCATTGTTGCGCAGAAAGATAGTGCAACAATACCAGAATGGTGTTACCCAGCGTAAAATAGCAAAGACTTTTAAGTTATCATCAACCGTGCATAACATCATCAAAAGATTCAGAGAATCTGGAACAATCGCTGTGCGTAAGGGTCAAGGCTGTAAAACTCTACTGGATGCTCGTGATCTCCGGGCCCTTAAACGTCACTGCACCTCAAACAGGAATGCCACTGTCAAGGAAATAACAGAAAGGGCTCAGGAATACTTCCAGAAAGCATTGTCAGTGAACACAATCCACCGTGACATCCGCCGTTGCCAGCTGAAACTCTACAGTGCAAAGAGGAAGCCATTTCTAAGCAAGCTCCACAAGCTCAGACGTTTGCACTGGGCCAGGGGTCATTTAAAATGGAGTGTGGCAAAATGGAAGACTGTTCTGTGGTCAGATGAGTCACGATTTGAAGTTCTTTATGGAACACTGGGACGCCATGTCATTCGGACCAGAGAGGACAAGGATAGCCCAAGTTGTTATCAACGCTCCATTCAGAAGCCTGCGTCACTGATGGTATGGGGTTGCATGAACGCTTGTGGCATGGGCAGCTTGCATGTCTGGAAAGGCACCATTAATGCAGAGAACTATGTTCAGGTTCTAGAACAACATATGCTCCCATCTAGACGTCATCTCTTTCAGGGAAGACCCTGCATTTTTCAACACGATAATGCCAGACCACATTCTGCAGCAATCACAAAGTCATGGCTACGTAGGAGAAGGATCCGGGTACTGAAATGGCCAGACTGCAGTCCAGAGCTTTCACCTATAGAGAACATTTGGCGCATCATAAAGAGGAAGGTGTGACAAAGAAGGCCCAAGACGATTGAACAGTTAGAGGCCTGTATTAGACATGAATGGGAGAGCATTCCTATTTCTAAACTGGAGAAACTGGTCTCCTCTGTCCCCAGACGTCTGTTGAGTGTTGGAAGAAGAAGGGGGGATGCCACACAGTGGTAAAAATGGACTTGTCCCAACTTTTTTGGGATTTGTTGACGCCATGAAATTTGGAAACAACAGATTTTTCCCTTAAAATGATACATTCTCTCAGTTTAAACTTTTGATCTGTGATTTGTGTTCTATTCTGAATAAAATATTAGATGTTGGCACCTCCACATCATTGCATTCAGTTTTTATTCACAATTTGTTTAGTGTCCCAACTTTTTTGGAATCCGGTTTGTACATGTTTGGCTTTTAGGAGAAGTGGCTGATCTACCATTAGTAACGGTGGCAAATAAAGAACTAGAAACAACAAAATGTTTGTTGAAACAGTTCAGGATCTCATGCTTATTTGACACAGGAACAGAGTTAAAAAGAACTTGTGATGACAGGTCAGATGAATGAGAGCTGCCAGAGAGAGATTAGATGGTTCTCCAGAATCTTTTAGGATCATTTAGATCAGGGGTGCCCAAACTTTTTCTCTGAAAAGGCCAAATTTAAAATATATCAGAGGGCTGCGGGGCCAAATACAATACATGAAATGCAAATAATTATTTAAGTCCATTTATTTATTATACTGTTATTTATCCTTCCATTCTGTATAAAGAACATTACTGAACAGGCTGCATTGGTGGTGGCTGGGGGGGGGGGGGGGGTGTCTGGGGTCCTCCCCCATAGAATTGTGAATAAAGTAAATACCATTTTCTGCATTTTGGTGTATTTTACAAAGATTTATTGCAGTAGATTAAGATGAAACAAAATGTAAACTCTGTTATTATTGAAATCTGATTGCAAAGCGTTCTTAATGCAACACCGCTGCAGCTCTGCAGGTAAGAGGCGTTCACTTCAGGACAAATTGAGGTCGCTGACTCGTCCGTTGCTGACGTGCCTACTGGACTGACTGACAGGCGGCGTGACTCGTGCAAAAAAATTGTAGATTTTACTGGCCCGTTTGAGACTGCTGTCATTTATTTCATATTTATTCAACATTTATTCAATATTTTGGTGAATCTAAGGTTTGAAAACTGCTTCCTTACAAAATCCTAATGATGATTTTTTAATTTTTCAAAGATACCGAGTTAAAATTAGGGGTGCTCAAGATGGGTGTGTGATGGGCACCTACATGATGCTCAGCTTTGGCAAAGGAGATGTTATTCAGCTGAAAGAAACTGCCGAGTAACAGTATGAAATCTGTCAAAATAAAATATAAAATATTGAAATGTAAAAAATTAATGCACAAATTAGTCACTCCAGCTGTGCAGTGTCATTACAGTAGTCATTGGGCCAACTTTCCATCTAACATTAAACTTGGAATGACTGAGTGTAAACACAATGATTCTTCAAAAGGAAATTTTAATATAGTATTGAAGACAGCT